CATGGCACCCCAAGCCTCCCCAGTGCCAGCCTTCCCATGGCACCCCAAGCCTCCCCAGTGCCAGCCTTCCCATGGCAGCTGCCTGTGGCACTCGCTGACACTGGCCCTGCCACCAGGGCTGCAGCCAGTGATTGCTGCTTGACTGGGCCGTCAGTTCCAGCAGCCTGAGAAGGGGAGCTGTGTGGAGATGTGACAGGAACCCAACAGTGAGGGCCTCAGCCAGAACATAGCTGCAAGCTGTTACTTGACAGAGAGACCAGATGTCCTGATGGCTGCAGCCTCCTCTGCTCTGTCTGGGGAAGGAAACCAAGTGCATGGCTTGCCTGTGCAGAGCACAGCTGGGGTGCAGCAGGGCAGAGGCAAAGCAGAACAGGCATGTGAGGAGAGGCTGAGACCTGCTGGCACACAGGGGCTCATGTTTGCCCTGGCCTCAGCATGGTCAGCATCAGCCCCCATCAGCGCAGGTGACATTCCCAGGTGCTCAAGACACCAATCCAGCCCAGCCTGAACAGCTTCCCCCAGGTCACAAGGGCACCCTGGGCCCCAGCAGCCCTCAGCACAGGGGGAACAGCTCCCTCACAGCTTGCAGCTGAGGAAGACATGGGAGCTCCAGGCTCCATGAGCTCGGGGCACAGTGAGCCTCACCACACGCAGTGCAGCAGACACAGCACCCTTCATGCTTGTGCATGGCACCTATCCAGCACTCAAACCTAAACAACAATAGCAAAAAACTCGGTTTATTTCTCTATAAAGGCAGAGCTTTCCTTGAAAAAACCAGCTCATTTCACTCATGAGAGGGTGTGGGGCTGAACTACAGGAGCAAGGCCTTCCTCACACTGCTCCAGGCCAAGAGCTATTGCTCCCTGAGGATGTGCACTGGCTGCATCCAGCAGGCTCAGAGCACTCGGAGTGGTCCTGTGTGGCCTGGGAGCAGGCAGAGCGAGGAGCACAGGTCCCCCAGCCCGAGCTGGGAGCAGCTGTAGGCGGTTCATGCAGGCAGAGCAGGACAAGGAGCGGGTGTCGCAGCCTGGGCACTCCATGGCAGCAGTGCCGGCAGCCCCCGTGCCCGGAGGGCAGTGCCAGGGCAGGGGCAGGCACTGGCTGTCCCGGGTGCAGGCACAGGGTGAATCCTGAGTGGCTGGTCCATTGTTGCGGAGATTTGGCTTAGCCCAGGGGAGTCTTGGGGCCAGCAGTCCTGGGGCCAGAGGTGGGGAGGTCTCCAACCCCTCCCAGCCCTGTCCAGCTGTCCGGGAGCTGTGCTGTGGGAGAGCACACTGGGGGCACAAGAGGTGTTAATTCTGAAAAGAGAGAGGAAGACACGGTGGACCATGAGAGATGAGGCTGGGAGCCCAGCACAGCGTGGGAGGGGAAGCAGACCTTCCCAGGTGAGCATCAACCCCCTCCCCCTGCAGAGGACGTGTTGGGGAATGAGCCAATGCAGCACTGAAGGAAGGAACTTACCTGCTGGGCTGTGGGCTCCCCTCCCCAGCTCCTCCATGCTGCTTTGGAAGAGAACACAACACCTATCATACCCCAAGCATGGCCTCCTGAGAGACACTGCATGCTCCTGACCCCAGCAAGGCAGGCAGCACTGGGAGTGCAGAAGGCCTTAAGCCCACTTGCTACCAAACTCCCTCCCCAGACCAGCCTGTCCTGAGACTGCATAGCCACATCTCCTTCCCATCAGGAGCCCCATGTCCAAAGGGCTGCACTTCCTCAGGCTGCACACACAGCTCCCGCCTGTGCATGCACTGGTTCCTGGCTGGCACCAGCTCAGCCTGGGCTCAGCCATGTGGCACTGCCAGACCCCAGCTGGGTCCCACCGCCGTGCACATGGAGAACAGCCACGATGAAACAGGCCTCTCACACTCTGCACTTCTGCAAAGACCTGCAGATTAACAGTCCACTGCTGGACTGGTTCCATCAGCTCCTCCCCAGACACCATCAAGCTCAGACCACAGCCCCAGTCCATGCAGAAGTCAGCATGACCAAGCCTCCATCTCGGCCCAAGCCCCAGGGAAATCAGTCAGAGGAAGGGGACAACTCTGAGTGCCATTGGAGAGGCATGTCTGGACAGGCTGGCATCAACTAAGAGTGGCAGAAACAGAACAAGAAACATCTCTGGGTGCACCCTGGGGGTCACCATCTGTCCCCCACAGCTCCACTGCAAAAGCTGGACTGCAAGGTCTGTCCCTCCACAGCTCAGCCCCCTGTTCACTTGAGCTCTCAACTGACAGAGGCAGAGTGTGAAGCTTCTGCTTGGTCCCATTTCGCTCTCCTCCATGATCCCACCATGCCCATTGCCCCAGCAGCTCCCCTTGCATGGAGCAGAGGAAAGGAAACAAGATAGGGTGCATCAGAGAGATCTCTGAAAGGAAGAAGCAGCTCACCACCTACCCAGATAAGCTTTCACCAACATTATCATCTTCCTCCTCCTCTTCCTCCTCCTGGCAAGCAAACAAACAAAAAAAAACTACCATAACACCTCACTGCATGGGCAGGTCTCTGCCAGGAGCGAGGCCGGGCTGCTCAGAGCCTGTGTGGAGCAGCAGGGCAGTCCCCAGCCCCTTCACAAGACAGTCACTCCCCCAGACACGGCACAAAGGGTTCCCACAGCGGGAAAGACTTGGGAGTGCTGGAACCCTCTGGGCTCAAGCACACAGGCACACGAGGAACAGACAGGCCCTGGCTCATCCCACGTGCCCTCCAGCAGCAATGCCCCAAATGCAGGCGGTGAGCAGGGACCACGCTGCCACAGCTGCTGCCACAGCACACTCTGCCCAGGGACAGCGGTGGGTGGGCACACCTTGCAGTGGGAGGGCAGGCAGAGACCACCGTGAGCAGGCTGCACGCAGGTACAACCCCAGGCACTGCCAGGCTGGGCCTGACTGGAAGCATGAGGCCAAGGACCAAACATCCAGAGTCTCCTGGGCAGGGACATAGTGAGACTGGCAACGTGGCAATGCTGCAATTGCTGTGGCCATGCAGGAGATGCAGTGCAGATGGGCAGGGCTGAGCCTTAGCCCAGGCTGGCAGGATGGTGACCCAAGGGTCCTCTCGTTCAGAGGCAGCTCTCGCCCCGAGCCATGGCACCAGGTGTGCAGCACAGGTCCCAGCTCCCTGTGTGACAGGGACAGTGGAGCAGGGATGAGGCTGCAGCAGTGCTGGGCCTGGCAGCAGAGCTTCTGGAGCAAAGAGCCCAAGGAACCACAGCTGCTGTGCAAGCACAGTGCTCTTCCTCACGTCATGCTGCCATGTGTGGTGGGGGCTGTGCAGGTATCGACAGGGCCCTGGCAGGGCAGGAGGAGGGAGCTGCATAAGGATCACTCTGTTCCTGCCCTAATTCCAAACAGCCCTGGGCATGGGCCAGACTTGCACATACTGTACCCCAAACTGGTGTCTGAAGGGAGGGCTCCCCCGGGGGGCTGGCTCACGGGGTCTGCCGGGCTCACTGCTCTCCATGACACATGAAGGGTGAAAGGGCTGATCCTGCCTAGAGCCTGGGACAGGGCAAAAGCAGCAGAGTTAGTGCCTGCAACCTGGAAAAAGCCCAGCTGGGGATGTACAGGCAGGACTGTGGGCAAAGGACAGGGAACCCCCACTGTGCTGTGGGGAGGGTGCAAACAAGGGTGGGGAATCAAGGGCAAGTACCACTGGGCCCTGAGCAGGGCTAGAGCTCAGCAATGCAGAGCAGTTCAGCACGGGGAGCAGGGATGCCTCCCACCCCAGCCCAGCCAGAGATGGGGCAGTGGCAGAGAACACAGCCATGGGGACAACACTCTCCCTGACTGGTGTGTTTTATCAGCCAGGCAGCGAGCCAGCTCCCCTCCACACAGCCCAGGACAGGGTCCTACACCAGAGACCTTGATCTTAGGGCTATGCAGAGGGATACATTTGAGAAATTCCTCCTACCTGCATGTGTTGCTTCCCAGAGATCCAGTGCCATCTGGAAGGCCTGGGCCACGGTCAGAGTCACAGCCTGTGCCTATGTACATGAAGGAGAGGGAACATCTGCTTCCATCTGGGC